AGAATGTTATATACACGACATTCCCAATCATAGTTATTAATGTTGTGCACTGCTGTTTGAGCTGCGTGCGCTGAGTTTGAGTTTATCACTGGTAAACTAAAGCGCTCTTTTAACTTAACCAAATGCATTCTATGTGAGATAAATCAGATATACATCAAATAAACACAATATTACAACGTACAATTGCACAAAAGGCTGCAAACGAACAGCGTGCATCTGAAGTGTCTCTGAAGGAAATAATGCATTATTTATCGGCTTTAAGATATCGGCCAAATTTTCTTATCAGGCCGATACCGATAACAGAAAAAATGAGCATTTATCGGCCGATACCGATATGGTGGCCGATATATCGTGCATCCCTAGGTACAATAGTTTATGTAATTAATTTATATAATTATGATTAAGTGTTGCAGTTGATTTCACCTGAAGCTTTTGGAGAATGGCAGTGTAGAATAAAACAACCAAGAAGTTATATATTTATGCAAGAAAACTATAATGAATTATTAATAGTAATTATTAATATGCAATATTTGTTCATATTATTAATATTTAATTCTATTTGATTAACTTAACACTTACAGGCAAATTATAGTCATGTTAGATAACTTTTTCTCTGTCAACCAAACTGGTTTTAAATGAAGCCACAGCAGAATAAATTGCATGATTTTGAACAAATGGGTTGAGTGGATGAATCAATGACTCACTCATAAACACTCATTTCCTGAATAAATCAGTGTTTTGTCAATCAGTGAATGAATCGGTTAAATAAATACATGTGAATCAGTGAATCAATAGAACAGTCTTATCATGTCGTCACCTATACTGGCTTAACAATGTAACTGGCAGAAAGAGTCACTGAAAAATCACTGCTACTAATCCATCTACAGAGTTGTGACAGCAGTTTTTGACCAGAAGTCTCAGATAGGTAGTTAAGGCACAGCTTATAGACTCTTGGACTTTTGGTTAGGGTTAGTGGTGGACTGAGATTATGCATTCCTCCGCTCTACCAAACTGCTGTCACGTATGACTTTGCAGCTGGATATACAGTATCTGACTGACTGACAGTCTGTCTGGAATGCGCAAACACAAACAAGTGGATACAAACAGTGAAAAATGACTAAATTTGCCACTCAGCAAATCAAATTAAATCAAACCAGGCAATATAATGAGAACATTTGTTAAGGGTAAGAGCCTTTCATGACACTATTACTGCATTTACGCTGTAAGGTTTAAATCACGGATCCAATCTTTTGACAAATCTCCTTTTTTGCCCCATCTGTTACTTTCACTTCACATACTTCAGACATAACCAGCTGTGTTTACATGAACACCTGTTAAGGCTGTCATTCAGCATGATATAAGCTTGTTAGGTGTTTCTAGTAGGCCTAGTAGTCCTCAAGTGTTTAACCCGACCACTCTAAAGAAATTAATTTCTATATTTATATAAATTAATTTATATAATTATGATTAAGTGTTGCAGTTGATTTCACCTGAAGCTTTTGGAGAACGGCAGTGTAGAATAAAACAACCAAGAAGTTATATATTTATGCAAGAAAACTATAATGAATTATTAATAGTAATTATTAATATGCAATATTTGTTCATATTATTAATATTTAATTCTATTTGATTAACTTAACACTTACAGGCAAATTATAGTCATGTTAGATAACTTTTTCTCTGTCAACCAAACTGGTTTTAAATGAAGCCACAGCAGAATAAATTGCATGATTTTGAACAAATGGGTTGAGTGGATGAATCAATGACTCACTCATAAACACTCATTTCCTGAATAAATCAGTGTTTTGTCAATCAGTGAATGAATCGGTTAAATAAATACATGTGAATCAGTGAATCAATAGAACAGTCTTATCATGTCGTCACCTATACTGGCTTAACAATGTAACTGGCAGAAAGAGTCACTGAAAAATCACTGCTACTAATCCATCTACAGAGTTGTGACAGCAGTTTTTGACCAGAAGTCTCAGATAGGTAGTTAAGGCACAGCTTATAGACTCTTGGACTTTTGGTTAGGGTTAGTGGTGGACTGAGATTATGCATTCCTCCGCTCTACCAAACTGCTGTCACGTATGACTTTGCAGCTGGATATACAGTATCTGACTGACTGACAGTCTGTCTGGAATGCGCAAACACAAACAAGTGGATACAAACAGTGAAAAATGACTAAATTTGCCACTCAGCAAATCAAATTAAATCAAACCAGGCAATATAATGAGAACATTTGTTAAGGGTAAGAGCCTTTCATGACACTATTACTGCATTTACGCTGTAAGGTTTAAATCACGGATCCAATCTTTTGACAAATCTCCTTTTTTGCCCCATCTGTTACTTTCACTTCACATACTTCAGACATAACCAGCTGTGTTTACATGAACACCTGTTAAGGCTGTCATTCAGCATGATATAAGCTTGTTAGGTGTTTCTAGTAGGCCTAGTAGTCCTCAAGTGTTTAACCCGACCACTCTAAAGAACATGTAGTTATTTTACATGTCCTTGTTCTTGAAAAATCAATAAAACTTCTAGAAAATGTAATTAATTATTCAATGGAGAACAGGCTGCCTTGATTACTCACACATAGCAATTATGTGTATTCTTTTCATTACCTTCATAAAGTGAATATTTCTGTGTGGTCATTAGAAATAAAATATGGCATATTTCTCTTTGGGAAATATGAGAGATGCTTCCTCTTACAATGTATAATGCTGCATTTCGCTAATTCACAGTTATTTAAAGAAAAAAAGAATTGCTCTTCATGTACTTCTGTCACGAATTCGGTTCATGGACTTCCGTTTATTCACCACCAGAGGTCACCCTTTCCTTTACATTGACTCTCGCACAACACAAACTGTTGCATAGCACCCCGGACTACATATCCCATCATTCTTTGCACGATTTGCACACTGCACTGATTGCACTCATTGCACACAGCTGTTTCTAATCACCTCACTCACTATATAACACCCACTCTAACCACCTTTATCTGCTGAGTATTGTTTAGCCTGTAACCCTTTGCGAGTCTCCGTGTTTTCCTTCTGAGTTTCTGTGTTTTCCTTGTTTTGACTTGCCTAGGACTATTCTTGTGTTTTTCCCCGCCATATACCTGTTTGCCATTGTTCGACCCTGCCTGTTATACCACGTCTCTTTAATAAAAGCTTGCAGATGGATCCACACATCTCACGTCTCGTCAGCCCCGTTACAACTTCACTTCATGATAAAATGTGAAAAGGGCTTTGAGTGTATAACAAAACCTGTATGAGTCAGTGATTTGCTGTTTGTATATTGATGTACAGTATGATAATTTCTGCAAAATTCGTGCTTGACAAAACAACTTCAAGTTGGTTTGCTGGTTTTTCCTGGTTTAAACTAGTCTACTTGATCCCCTGCCTGTCCAGGCTGATATAGCTCCCAGCCTAAACCCCAGACAAGTGCTAAGGACCCTTGGGCCCTATGATTTCTGCGATGTGGAAAGCGCTGACGGAATTGCGGAATCCAGTCATAAAAACTACCGTCATATCATATACACACAGAAATTTAAAGGTATTCATGGTAACCTATCAAAATAAAAGTTAATTAACTTTAAGACATTGTGCCAGAAATATATTACCATTAAACAGTAGAATGTACGTAATACTACTACTACTACTAAAAATATTAAAACTTTTTTTAATGAATAATCACTGAATATTTCTTCCATGTTTAAATTTTAATAGTAAATCCCCATTGTTTGCCAAAAAATAACGTTTGTTTAATTTTCATTAATTAAAAAATAAATTAATGTTTTATGCCTTCATTTGATAACCAGAAAAAATACAGAAAACACCACATCATTTCTGAGAGAGAGAGAAAAAAAACATTTCATAAGGCCATTGAAAGAATAAATTTTAATAAATTAAGTTGTTTTTAGGCATTCAAATAATTAGACATGCTAAAACACAGAATTTGGTAACAACATAATTTGGTAACTTTTAATAAATTGATGTTAAATTGCTTTTTGATTAATAAAATTTAATTTAACCATTAAAAAGGAGTCCAGAAAAACTATATGGTAAAAAAACTTAATCTAGAAACGGAAAAACCGGAATTTAAAAAATAAAATAAAACGGAATTTGGGCAAAAATAAAACGGATTCATAGGGCCCTAGGACCCCTGAGAAACAGTTAAACACATTACATCATGTCTACACTGGATGCAACAAAGCGACCGTTCCAAATGCATTTATCCTTTGTGTCAGAAGTAGTGCGAGCACTTGGAGTATTTCAGAAATAGAATGGGCATCAGTTTACTAAATATGCTTCGTGGTTTCCTACTGTTGAGATGCTTCTGCTCAGTGCTTGTGCTTTGCTATCTTTTACTTTGGAATTTCTTTTTAATTTCCTATTCAGCAGAGAACAAGTAGTGTTCTCTATATTGGCTTTCCTTATCAAACACTACACTGTTTCTGTGTTCCCACAGTTTCTACACTGTGCCGATCACACTGCACTGATCTTTTTAAATCCTCTTTTTCCCTTATATTCATTTTAATGAATCTTATTTTATTCTAACTAATTTATTATTTTTACTTCTTTTATTGTATATATCTTTTTTTAATTTTTATATTTCTAATGACACTTTTTATGATTATTTTTTTAAATACTTTTTAAAGCACTATGAATTATCACTGTGTATTAAATATGCTATATAATTCAACTTGCCTGCCTTGCATTGCCTTTGCTTACTGTCAGGAATTGTCATGTCACGTTGCACCGCATCCAGTGTAGACAATATCACTGATTATAATGGGTTTTATTGTCTTTTGTCGCGTTGTGCCACTCATGCCGCTCATGCTGTTAGGGTAGATATATATATATATATATATATATATATTTTTTTTTTTAAATGAGAATATTAATTACAAAAGTTTGTGAAATAAGAGGCGATTCAGGTGTGTGTGTGTGTGTGTGTGTGTAAAGGTGTTCCAGTTGTTCCCGGAACAGACGCACCCATCTCATCTCTTCAAGAGGCTCAGGAGTTTGCCAAAACATATGGCTTTCCCATTATCTTTAAAGCTGCATATGGAGGAGGAGGCCGTGGGATGAGGGTGGTCCGAGATTATGAGGTCTGTGTATCTTCTGGCCCATGAAGGCATAAAAAATGAAATGACCATAGAATCAGAAATCCATCATATATCACTGTGATAATAACAGGGCAGCCATCTAAATATACAGAGCGCCACAGCGTTTACACTTATTACTTATAGCTGCCTCTACAAATTAAACTGAAATAGGATAAATTATTTTAAAATCGAAAAGTTCCACACATCACTTTTTCACTCAAAGGCTCAGGAACATTCTTGCTAGACCCCCAAAAAATCACCCTTTTCCAGTAAATAAAAAAAATATTATCTGACATTGTGTTCTGGCAGTAACTGACAGTAGTGCCCTTCTCCCCTTAAACATAATTGTGATGTGTTTCAAGGCTAGCCCACTAAACTATGCCAATTACGACTGTTAATGGGCCTCATTTTCTGCAGATGTCTATACACTATATACTGTTTATGTCGGTATATACAGTACTGCCTATTTTACGACTGCGTTCAATTGTGTTACGGTACGATAGATGCTCATTGTCCTCTACTTGACATGTGGACATGCACATGTGACAACTACTACTCCAGTGCAATACTAAATCACATTGACATTGCTTGCTCTACATAGTCCATTTGCTGTATTTATTGCCTATATTTATTGTCACTAGTGAAAAGTGTTTAGTGTTTATTGCCTCTTTCTACCAGGCTCTGTGAGACAAGTGAACAAGCACTGTCTTGTAAAGAGTGTTAAATAGTGTTTCTGAATGGCTTCTGAAGAGACTTCATTTCATGTCTTCAACTACTTCACAGAAGAGAAATGAAAGCATACCAAATTCAACCTTTCATGAAAACAATTGACTGATCACCAAATGCCATTAGTGAATGTTTGGCCTTTGTTCCACTAATAGAAATCATTGCCATTTTATTCTCTACTGTTCTGGATTTGCTTTCAGTTTATCAGGCACACTCAAACCCTTTGGATTATTTCAATTTAAAACAATGGAAGGCTTATATTATATTATATTATATTATATTATATTATAATAAAAATAAAAATAAATAAGCAGCACAACAGTTTTCAGATTTGACAATCATATAAATGTTTCTTGAGCACCAAATCAGCATCTTAGAATGATTTGGAGTAAAGGCTGCTGAAAATTCAGCTATTCCATCATAGAAATAAATTACATTTTAAAATATATTAAAGTAGAAAACAGTTATTATAAATTTTTATAATATTTCATAATATCACTGTTGTTACTGTATTTTATCAGGTATTTAATTGTTATATTTCATTACTGTTCATTCCTGTTTTTACTGTTTTTTTTAAATAAAATTAGCATAAGAAACATTTTTTCGTATTAACTTTTTTATTCACTTTTCTTATTGACTGCACACTTTTTAACAGTAGTGAAATACAACAAGTATTTTGGCCTTTTTATTATTGTAATATTGAATTTTGTGACTGATTTACAGGAATTAGAGGAGAACTATCAGAGAGCCTATTCAGAGGCTCTGGCGGCATTTGGTAATGGTGCTCTGTTTCTTGAGAAGTTCATCGAGAAACCACGCCACATTGAAGTACAAATTCTTGGTGAGTATATTAATCCATGTATTTTGTGTTTGTGTATGTTGGCATTTACAAAAGAAACAGAGAGAGATAATATAAGAATTTGTCTGCTAGTCCCTAGACTGTGTGCACATATTTGTTTACTATGCTTACTATGATCTATTAGCTTCTCTCTGGTGTATCTGAGCCATTATAGCTGAGAATTTTGGCTCATTAGATGTGATTTGCTCGTCTGGAAGAGAGCTCATAGTCAATAACATACAGCTGGAATTGAATTGGGCTTGTTAACAGAGAATGGCTCTGTGTGTGTCCAGGGAACACCAACCACATGCTTTGTTTCTCTCTCTCTCCCTTTCTCTCATTCTCAAATAAACTGATTTTTATGACTGTCTTCTTGTCCTACACTGTGAATCTAATACCAAAGCTATGTTGACAAATATCTGAGATATAAAATAATTAATTTAAATTCAAAGGAGAGTATCAACAAAATCCAGCATTTTCATTAGAAGAGGACTGTTTTAACAACAATTGTAAAGCAATTGTATTATCTTGCTTTCATTTTCTGTTACAGGATGAAATGTTTTAGTGATAATACAAAGAATATCAGAGATTTTGTCAAATGCATGGCTAATTCTTGCTCATGATTTTGTTGTCACTTTCTTGTTTTTTGTAACTAAGGGGAGATTACAAAAGACTAACAGGATTAAAGTGCAGTTGAGGATACAGTAAAGACCTACAATATGAAATGACTGCCAATTAAAGCAATATTCATGAGAAAACATTGGTTAGACAAAGGAAATAAGAAACACCTGAAAAAGATCATAATACATGTCCAGTGTTTCATGTGACATGACAATAATGGCAACATCTGCTCAAAGCAAAGTAGTAAATTGATTAAAAAATTCATCCTTAGTTCACTTATTTGTGATAAAACTAATGTAATTTTTATCTTTAAAACTTGCTTATATAATAAAAATAAAATATTTTATTCAGTATATTGAGACGGGACATGGAAATGTTCTGCATTGTGGGAGTAACCCAGTCAGGCAAACTTAAACCTCTCTCCTCGCATCTCTCTCTGTCCTTTCTGATCAATATTATTCTTCTCACTTTCACTCACAGGTGATAAATATGGAAATGTAATTCATCTGTATGAGAGGGATTGCTCTATCCAGAGAAGACATCAGAAAGTGGTAGAGATCGCTCCTGCTGCCCAGCTCGACCTTCACCTCAGAGACAGACTGACCTCAGACTCGGTCAACCTGGCAAAACAGGTAAAGAACAGACACACATGTGAAAAATTGATATGTGTACAACCTGCAACCACAGTTTACACATAGATTTCTCTTAGCAGCATACTTAGCATGCCCTTCCTGAACTTTCCTCTAGACAGTGTGAGTCAATCAACTCAAGGTTATAATATCTTCTCTCACTTCATTATGCCTGGCAGGGCTCGACAGTGCGACCATTTCAGTCGCATTTGCGACTGAAAACTACTGCGTGCGACTATGAAATTTATTTTAGGAGCACCAGTGCGACTGACCCGATCATCATCATACTTGTGATGGCAGATTTCTCTTGACTCTTTTGCTATATGTGTGTATTGAATGATTAACATATGTTAGTTCTCAGTGCTGGTCTGTCAAAAGGTCTAGTCACAGAGGAATGTGTTCTATTTATTGATGTATTAAGCAGAGGCTGATAGATGGAGATTGAAGCGATCAATGAATTATTGGTAGTAAACTCCCAGTGATGTCTGTCATTATGAAGATATGTGTTGCACCGCCTACATAATTTCTCTCTTACTCTTTCTCTGTATCTGTCACGCTGTCTTCTTTTTCTTTCTATGTAAGTATAGAAGTAGACAGTTCTATAGAAGTAGAAAGTAACAAACTTGCAATCACATCATTTACTGCATGGCACAAGCTGATTGATTCTGCTGATATATATATATATATATATATATATATATATATATATATATATATATATATATATATATATATATATATATATATATATATATATATATATATATATATATATATATAAATACATATGCAGTATGTGTGTGTCTGTGTGTGTGTAGTGTATGTATGTATGTTGTGTGTGTATATATACATACATACACTCTAAAAAATGCTGGGTTGTTTCAACCCAATGTTGGGTCAAATATGGACTAACCCAACTGTTGGGTTAAATTTTTAATTTAAAAATGTAACCAAAATTTAACCCAACAGTTGGGTTAGTCCATATTTGACCCAACATTGGGGTGAAACAACCCAGCATTTTTTAGAGTGTAGGGTTTCCCAAACTGGGAAGAACTGCAAGTGGCTTTGTGAGTTGATAAAAAGCTAATAATTAATTGAATCGTGAAAATGTCAAGTAAATTAAACACGAACTCTAAAAATAGAAATATTTCATTTGTTTACCTGCGTTTCAATGGGACTGTTAATAAGCAAAATCGAACTGTAAACATGCAAATGTGTTGTTAAATGTATGAGATAGTATTTATTTAATATATGTGACCCTGGACCACAAAACCAGTCATAAGGGTCTTTTTTATTGAGATTTATAGATCATCTGAAAGCAGAATAAATAAGCTTTCCATTAATGTATGGTTTGTTAGGATAGGATAATATTTGGCCGAGATACAACTATTTGGAAATCTTGAATCTGAGGGTGCAAAAAAATATAAATATTGAGAAAATCGCCTTTAAAGTTGTCCAAATGAAGTTCTTAGCAATGCATGTTACTAATCAAAAAATTAAGTTTTGATATATTTACGGTAGGAAATTTACAAAATATCTTCATGGATGGTTACATTTTTAAATTAACTTTTTAACCCAACAGTTGGGTTAGTCCATATTTGACCCAACATTGGATTGAAACAACCCAGCATTTTTTAGAGTGTACAGTATATTCAAGTCAAGTCACCTTTATTTATATAGCATTTTATACAATACAGATTGTGTCAAAGCAGCTTTGCAGTGTTAAGCAGGAAAATAGTGTGTCAATAATGCAAACAATTCAATTCTGCTGTAAAGTAGCTTTAAAAATAGGACAATAGTAACAGTCAACTTTTCAGTTAATGGCAGTTCATTGTTGATTCAGTGATGTCATCGTCCAGCTCAGTTCAATTCTCTTCCAATAGTGTCTGTGCAATCAAGTCGATAGTATTGTCAAAAATTAAGTGTCCCCAACTTAGCAAGCCAAAGGCAACAGTGGCAAGGAACCAAAACTCCCATCGTGCCAGAAATGGAGAAAAAAACCTTGGGAGAAACCAGGCTCAATCAGGCTCATTTTTCCTCTGGCCAGACAAAACCAGCATGGTGTGGTTTAATTCCAGGCTGCAACACAAGTCAGATTGTGCAGAGGACTCGTCTGCTTCTCGTGATCTTGTGCCGACAACTGTCTAGTTGACGAAGTCTTCACAGGGGATCTGTCCCTAGGGCTTATCTAGTTGATGTGGTCTCGCTGACATTCAGGGCTGTAGAGGTCATCTCTAGGTGCTGATCCACCTAGATACAGACTGGATCTGGGTGGCTACGGTGACCTCGGAATAATAATGAAACAGACTAATATTAGTGTAGATGCCATTTCTTCTTACAGTGTAACAAGTACATCTGGTGTTATGGTAAGTGTTCCTGATTCCGGTTGACCTAATTAATGCAGCCTAACAATGCTTTAACGGATTTGAATTATAGAAAAGCTATAATGTGCTATGTGTATGCCAGGTTAAACAAATGGGCCTTTAATCTAGATTTAAACTGACAGAGTGTGTCTGCCTCCCTAATAATATTAGGAAGACTGTTCCAGAGTTTGTGCGCTAAATAGGAAAAGGATCCACCGCCCGTAGTTGATTTTGATATTCAAGGTATTATCAAATAGCCAGAGTTTTGAGATCGCAGAGGACGTGAATTACTATAATAGGGCTGGGCGATGTAGCTAAAAAAATGATCATGATATAATGTTTCATATCGTTTGGTATTGATCATTTTTGAAAGTTTTTTATAACCTTTCTTAAACAGAGAGCAGTAGAAAAAATGTTTAAATTCAACCACTGTATTGTTTATTTACCCAATTTATTAAGACAAACAACAACTTATTTTAGTCTTAACAAACAAAATAATAAACAAAACAAAGGCCTAGACTATAATGTGATTAGAGCTCGCTCAAGTACTGAGGAGCTAAACCATTCAGGGCTTTATAAGTAATTAGCAAGATTTTAAAATGTATATGATTTTTAATAGGGAGCCAGTGCTGTGTTGACAGAACTGGGCTAACATGGTCATACTTCCTGGTTCTAGTAAGAACTCTAGCTGCTGCATTTTGAACCAGCTGGAGTTTGTTTATTAAGCGCGCAGAGCAACCAACCAATAAAGCATTACAATAATCTAACCCTGAAGTCATGAAGTCATGAATTAACGTTTCTGCATTTGACATTGATAGCATAGGTGGTAATTTAGATACTGTATATTTTTAAGATGAAAAAATGTGGTTTTACAAATGAAAGCTAACACCATGTTTCCTGATGATATCTCCCAGGGGTAGCATTTACAGGGTGAAAAGCAAAGGTCATAGTACTGAGCCTTGTGGTACTCCATACTGTATTGTGATCAATATGATACCTCTTCATTCACTGCTACTAATTGATGACGGTCAGTTAAGTACAATTTAAACCATGCCAATGCAATTCTAATGCCAACATAAATTTCTAGTCTATTCAAAAAAATGTTGTGGTCGATGCAGTCAAATGCACCGCTAAGATCCAGTAGCACTAATACAGTAGAGATACAATCGGGTGATTAGAGCAGGTCATTTGTAACTCTGATGAGAGCAGTATCAGTGCTATAATACGGTCTAAATCTTGACTTGAAATCCTCACAGATACCATTTTTCTCAAAAAAAAAAAAAAAAAATATATATATATATATATGTATAGTTGTGAGAATACGGCCTTTTCTAGTATATCTGGCAGAAAAGGGAGATTTGAGATAAGTCTGTAATTAACTAATTTTCTAGGATCAAGTTGTGGTTTTTAATGAGATACAGAGAGAGAGAGAGTTAGAAATATTTTACATAAATAGATAAATATGTTTGGATAGATAATAGAAATATATGGATGACCAAAACCGCAAAAATTTTGTTGAATACAATTGTAACCCCATGCAGATGCTACAAAATAAGTTTGAAATGACCACAGCTTCTTCATTTGAACTGAATACTACGTAGCAACATAATGTATTGCCATATAACATTTGCGTGGATGAAAATGAGAAAAATGACAGAGTTAAGCATAGAGATATTTTGGCTAATGCAGTGGGACACTCTAGTTGAGATTCTAGTGGAAAATCAGTAGTCTGACATTTCACTTTTGAGGAAGGGAAAAAAGAATAAAGAGTAGAGGGAAACCCCCCTGGTGCATGCTGGGAAAGTGTTTGTATTTGTAGAGATTAATCTGTGTTGATCTGCCTGTTCTGTCAAAACTGAGTGCAAGCTCTCTCTCACACACACACACACACACACACACACACATTTACTTAGCTATCTAAATGGGGACATCCCATAGGTGTAATGGTTTTTATACTGTACAAACTGTATTTTCTATCGCCCTACACCAACCCTACACCTAAACCTACCCCTCACAGAAAACTTTCTGCATTTTTACCATTTAAAAAACAACTTTGTTTACTTTATTTTTTTATCAGTTTTACAAATGAGGACGTCCCCAACGGGAGGTTTTTGGAGATTTTGTCAGGTTTAGCTCACTTTTTGGTACAAATTTGTCCCCAAAATATGGTTAACAACACACACTTTTAGATATTTCCTCTGACCTTAGAGTTAGTGACAGAAGAATTATGGATTTGGAGAGATGGACTCGCCACCCAGTCTAAACCTACCATTTAAAAAACAACTTTGTTTACTTTATTTTTATATCAGTTTTACAAATGAGGACGTCCCCAACGGGAGGTTTTTGGAGATTTTGTCAGGTTTAGCTCACTTTTTGGTACAAATTTGTCCCCAAAATATGGTTAACAACACACACTTTTAGATATTTCCTCTGACCTTAGAGTTAGTGACAGAAGAATTATGGATTTGGAGAGATGGACTCGCCACCCAGTGATTACAAGGTGTGTGCGTGAGCACCGTTACCAATTCCCACCTCTTGATAAACCACATGCTGTCAGTTTTGATAAGTCACTTGCCCCTGTAGGAGTCAAATTTGTATGTATCATCCTTTGAAATTATATTAGTGATATTGGCAGCAGCA